CTCAGATACCGTCTATCCTGCAGGTGGAACCTCCACTTCCGCTTCGGCACTGGCAGCATCCTCTACTCAACAACGGCACTGCCGTGCAACATCCCGACAGCCACAGGTCGAGCACAGCCAAGGTTGCACAAGGAAAACTCTTCACTGAGACTCTCCCTGCTGAACAAACGGCATATGCAACGTGCTGCAAGCATCCTGTGGAGTTGCAATGCAGCCCTAAAACCAACGTGGCATCGCATCGACGGCCTCGAACGGGTAAGATCGGTGGAGAAGGACACAAATGCAGGGTCCATCGCATCACCATGTGGCAGTGCAGCCCTATCGTATGCACGGACAATGTAACTGTTCCGGCGGCCGCGAGGCGATCTGGACCGTTCATTCGCGCGTCGAAGTTACTAGCCACATTTCTAAGCCGGCGCCCTGCCACCCGAGCCTTCTGTGTCCTTCGATGCCACAACCCGAGTTCTTCTTTCATATTTTGCATTCTCATGCCATGGGGAATACTGTGTCCTTGCAGTCGCATTCGTATTGCGTCCATCTCCGTCGGACCGAACAAATGCTATCTCGTCGCTTACGAGGGTCCATGACATCATCTCTCCGAAGTCTCCTCACCATCCCTTCCCTCACCATCCATCCCAAACGACTGCCGTGCAGAACTCCTGCTTTGCGCTTCTATTTTTGCGAAGCAATATGTCCCCAATGAATATCCTTTCCCTGACGTCTTAGTCGACAACCTGCTGGTCATTGAAACTGCCCATCACTTCTCGAAGCTCGCCCGATGTGGTCATCGATCGCCAACGGCTGAGCGGGCACCATCCCTAGCCCTTGTGCCCGCCAATCCGCGAGCGCGGGATGATGAGACCCTGCGTCTGCTTGTTTTCGACAAAGTTTCTGCCGGTCCACCTGCTATGACAGGAAGCATGACTGCCGATCATGACGCCTGAGGCCTGATAGTCGCGTGTTTGTGACTTCTCCACTCACAACGCAGCTGTGACATATTCGATGCACCGGTCACTATACATCTTCAAGTATGTATGGATAGCATAGCAATGCTCGCTCAGGGATTTCTATTCCTATGCTCTTATCTGTTCTCCATCTGCCGGGATAAGAATTTTACAAGTTCTGCTCGCATATGCAGGGCAAGCGCCTTCCGATGTTCTTCCACCCAACGGTTCTTTTGGGGTTCGTGAGGCTTGGAAATGTAACAGGGCGTCGACCGTTTCCGGTTTTGTGCCTCATGGCATTCGGGACCTGGTTTGCAACGTCATCCGTCATGCGCTCAGTCACAACCGCTCTCCTGACTGATGCATCACCAAGATAATTGCTTCTTTGTCACTGGAGATGCGACCTGATCTAGCGGATCCTGCGACACCAATACCGCGATGCGGAGTTCATCCGGTCGTTCGGTCGGTCGAGTTCGGAGATCTGCCGAGTCAAATCTCACCACACCTTCTGCGCTGACTGCATTCTCCGCAATCTGTTGGCCCTCAACACTGCAAAAGCATTCCTGCTTCCTCTTTCGTTAACCGGTGGCATCACCTCGGTCGTACCATAAAGCGACTTTACGCCGAGATACACTTTAAGCGCGAATACGCGCGGAGATGCGTTATCTCCGGATTCCACGCGACCCTTTGCAAATTATTCATGCGTTACTCAGCGCTGACAGATCATGAATCTTTGTCGCAGTCGGTTGAAGGTCCGTCGTTGCTCCGAAGTAAACCCATACGCACTGCATACGAGAATCCTATACACCATCGGCGCAAAATAGCCGGGTGCAGGCAGCTAGTCCACGTTACGAGCCTCTTGCGAGGCTGAGGATGGTAAGCAAGCTAGCTTACGATGCATCAGGCAACGGTACGCTCAACGCGGGTCTCAATACGGGTGTTCGTGCGCTAAGCCCTCTGTCTGTGGGTTGCGCTTTCTCAGATCTTGTTCTCTCGCTAATCTGTGATCAGTAGTGTGTCTCCACATGGCGACACTGTCAGCGCTGCTCGTTTGGGGCCGCGTAGGCTTTGGCCACCTGCATGTCAGCCTCGCAAGCCTTGATCCTTGATGTAGGTGTAAGCTTTTGGGCTGTATGTAAGGTGGCCTAGGTATGCTGGATGACTATCGGCGAAAATGTACCGTGGAACTGGATTCCACGTGTACATGGGCATTAGCGTTAACACTGTTGATGCCTTAGCAGCGATCTTGGTCTTCGCAAGCATGTGGAGAGTTCTGAGATATAGAGAGCTTTTGTATACATGTGATGTTGAGATCCGAATGGCCTATGATGCATATCATTCATCTAGTGTGACTGCTTTAATGACCCCGCACTCTATACCTCTTCTCCTCTGATCAAACTTATCGCTAACTCTGTAGTACGACCTGGACCTTCCAAGGCTAGATATCAGCGCTGATTGTAAACGACTAACTTCGCGCTGAGAATCTACCTGAGTAGATGATCAGATATACTAAAGGCATAGGGAGCGGGGTCTTTATCGATAACCTTACCTATGAGCTCAACATCGTACGCATTCGCTTTTCTTCTGACTACATCATGCTCTGGTGCCTCACGCAGTTCGGGACCAGCCTAAGGAGGCAATCCAAATGCTACGTGGTCAGTCGCCGTTTTGCTAGCTACACCTGCGAGCTTAATGCATTCCAGGTCATAACACGATTGCGTAGCAGTTGACCTCGACGCGGATGTCCGTTTCCCTAATCGCATGATTGCCGTTCGAGGCGGCTCTCTCTCAATGCAACCCGTGCCACGATGCTTCATTCTTGGTTGATATCTTCGCCATCTTCATCACAGAGAAGGTGCGCCCGTCGTATGAAATGAGCTCTGATACACACCGTCTCGGACGCTGAGCAGGCCTCGATTTACCACGTTCGACTTCTCGGGACTTGCATTGCTGGCACGCGGTACGCGAGGTGAGTCCATGCTTCCGCCTCAGTGAATGCGCACGATGGCACACAAATGACCAGTGATCTTGACATCCTCCACTACGTTCTGATCAGCCCCGAGTGTACTACTTCTGTCGGATCTGGAAAAGTCAAGGGTGCTGAAGCGGACGCTCCTGCCAACGCTCCTGCCCGTCGACAGTTCTCACCACGCGCTAGCCATCGCGCCTTGCCATACTCGGTATAGAGCAAACATTGAACATTTGAGCCTTCAGCACACTCACTGCTTCCATTCCAGGTGAAACCTTTGCGCTGCAAACCGCATTCGCCTGGGACGGTCAACAAGTTCCACCCTCCATCCGGTCCTCAGTGTTACATCTCACCCTGACGCTGGCCCCCGGCCCAATGCAATAAGCTTAGCGGCTCTTCGTCGCAGGCACTGGACTACCGCAGGGGCATCCTCAATTCCGACAGATCACTCCAAAGCGCAGCGAGATGGCCATCCACCCTGAGTTTCCTGGCTTGGAAGTCAAAGTTTGCGTCCAAGGCCAGCCATTGCACGAATACGACGACGATAAGATTCCTGAGCCAAAGACAACGACAAAGTACATTGAAGCGCGCTCAGGCGAGATATTCTCGATCATGACTGTGTTCAAGCCCCCATTCCAAAGTCAGTACGATATGGGCGTTCAAACCCGTATTGACGGGGTAGAAATGAACACAAGGGTACGCAAGCGAGATGAGATTTTGCAAAAACCTATGTCGTCAAAACATTATCGTTCTTGCCAAGGCGGAGAGTGGGTGGAACAGAAATTCACCTTTGCCAAACTGAACATCGGCAAGTACTATGAAGACCTCTTGATGTCATCTACTTACTTTTTTGCGCAGTGGAAGAGGCTGATGAATCTACCCCTGTTGTTGTTGCTCTGGATCAGGTTCTCAGCGTCAAAGGTTGTATCACTCTATCTCTCTATTTTATCGAAATCATCCAAGAGACGGGCATACACAAGATAAGTTACAGCGACGATAGACACCAGCAACTTGCAGCGCTCCAGGCCATCCCGGAGAAGGCACTTAAAGGCGAAGCTCTGTCGCACCAAGCAGTGTGTGTAAGAAATGAGGAGTTTTGTTGATCGCCAAAGAACTGACTTCCTGAAAGCCTCTCGCAGCCTCGGAAATATCATCCCGTACGGAGACTATGGAAATATATTGACGAGAAACCATTCGCAACTTTCCACTTCAAGTATCGGTCGCTTGGTGAGTCACGATCAAAGCTCTCCTTGTGACATCCGCTGACACGTTTGTCTTTCAAGCGAGCATACAAGCCCTTCATCTTGTCTCCATGAACGAAGCGCCTCCTGTCCCCCTAGACAACAGACTCGCGAAAGACCTGTCGCCCGGAGAGCTGAGAGAGCTGCTAAATCATGCGCAACAAGTATGTATGCGCCGCGTATCTCTGGCGTTAATACTTACGTATACATAGCGAGAGTCAGAGAGCACCTCTATCAAGGCCGAAGACGAAGCCACTGCTGGCGTCAAGCACGAGAGGACTATCGGTGATGATGACGATGTGACCTATGTCGAGACGCGACAGCGCAAACGTGCGCACGTGGAGCAAGAGGTTATCGTGATAGATTGAGAGAGGATGTCTATTCCATCTTCACGGCGCGGAGTTCAAGGTGGTATAGAAGTCAAAAGACGGCATAGTTCGAGATGGAAGCAAACTCCGAACCCTGGGCCGACTCGAATTTTACGCATGGAAGTATACTGCCAAAGTATTGATATATGGAACCGCCTCTAGGGGCGTGTATGGATGATTAGGCTAATCGCCATGGGAGAACATATCTTTCTACATATCTAGCAATGTTTAAATGTAGCCACTCGGGGAATTTAGTCACTGCTCATGTACTTACAACATATCAGCACCTGTTGATACGATAGTTGCCTTTACCTCCTCCGGCACCGTGCGCTAGCTTCGTTCCAGTCTAGTCTACCTCTCTCACTACGCCTCATCAGTTGTCGATATTTAGTATCTTCCAGCAGTCTACTTTCAAGATCACTCATCCTTCTTCCTTCCCACCAGTGAGACAACTCACTTCCAGATCGTCTACTCCACCATGGCTGTTCTTCCTTTCTGCCCCGGCCTGACAGTGAAGATTGTCGTCAACGGCGCTCCCCTGCCCGAGTACGACGACGACAGCGACACTCCCGCGTCGCCAACAACGGTCACCAAATATGTCGAAGCGACATCTGGCGCCAACTTCGCGATTCAAGTATCAGTCACTGAAGATTTTCCCTTCCCAAAGGGTGACATGCTAGCTGCGATCAGCCTCGATGGGCAAGTGATCGAACGTGGAATCAGCCCCGAAAGCCGCTTCTTTCATACACGTCTGTACCATGGCCGTAGCAGCCAAATCGGTGGACACCCGAAGATACAGAAATTCTGCTTTGCCGAATTGGAAATCGGTAGGTTCATTGCGGAGAACCTATCATACATCTTTCTTTCCAATGTCAAAGCTAAGCTAATGATTCTGAAGTTGAAGGAAGCACATTTCTCCCTGATCTGACGTCAATTGGAACCATCACTGTCGGCTTTACGTACATACGAAATCTGGGGCAGGTCTCCCCGGCTCACATCGTCGAGAGTATTTCGGCATCGAAACAGGTTCCTGAGAAGGCACTGAAAGGACAGACACACACTCATCGAGCTGGGTACGTTATCATGTATTCTGTGAAGGTAGTGCTGATACGTATAGTTTGTCCGAGCCGGTTGCGTATGAACGTGCAACGTTCTGGGATTATGACCGTGTCACGAAGTCTCCGTTCGCTACTTTCAACTTCAAATATCGCTCCCTAAGTAAGTCAAAGTAGTTTCGCGACGTCATGTCACTAGCTGATTCGTTTAGATGCTCTCCGGATTCTAGGTCTCATTCCACGCGAGCCCACTCCGCTACCTCTGGAAGAGCGGCCTGAAGATGAACTTACTCCGGATGAGCTGCGCCAACTCGTCAAGCAGTTCAAGGTACGTTGATGGTAGAGGTCCACAGTACCATATACTCACTTTTTTAGGATCGCGACGCAGCTGCAGTCAAGGTCAAGAAAGAAGCCGTCGACAAGCGCAAGCGGGTCGATGAGGCTGTCGAAGCCAGCGATGGCGAGGAGGTCACGGTTGTAAGGTCTAGTGACCGGAAGCGTCACCGTGGTGCGGATGACGAGGTTATCGTGCTGGACTAGGAGTGTGTGTTGGTCGTGCAAAAGATTTTCCCGAATGGACACATACATATGAGCTGGAGACTCTACCTAGGTAGACAGGTTTCAATTCAATGTCTGGTTAACGATCATGTTACTTTGCAGCAGTTGCCTCGACTAGTTACCAACTTGTCCTAAGAAGACCATAGCAAAGCCCGATGCTGTCCATTCTTGTTATGGTCACCCACCTACCTGTCAGTTCGTTGCTCCTTCCATGTTGAGTCGTCCTCGCTCTTACCGCATTAGTGCCTAAGCAGCAAGGTTTTCCGCACTCACCCTCACTTTGATAGTGTCCAGTGTCCAAGCGCCTTGTTGCCTGCCACAAGCGAGACACCTAAATCATTTTCCTCTGTTGACATCTACTTTCCACTTTTCTCACCGTCACCCGAATCGGTTTACGACACCAGCATGGCGATCCATGCCGACTACCCAGGCCTGACGGTTGAAATATACGTCGACGGCAAACCACTTGAGGAATACGAGAACTCGGAAGAGGAAGATGTGCCTAAGACAACCACGCGATACGTTGAATGCCGGTCGGGTGCGGAATTCGCAATAAGGACGAAGTTCACCTCACCTTTTGAGCCGATGGATATAGACATATGCGTTGGTCTAGATGAAGTGACTGTTAACAAGTTCAACGTATTCAAAGCGCACATGTTCAAGAGACCATTCACTCAGTCAACAACGTGCTGGGAAGAAGATGGGACAAGGCGGGCATCAAAATTTCTCTTCTCAGACCTCAGTGTGGGTAAGTAAGCTCGAAATGAATCCATGATCTGGATTGCGTATGTGCTGAATTTTCACAGTTGAGGAGAACAGTAAAACAACGTTTGGAGAAACTCGAGAGGCTCTTAACTCTGTGGGCACTATATCCGTCAAACTCACACCAATTCTCAGCTATCGGAAGAGCAAAAATGGAACTCAAAAGAAGGTGGAATTAAGAGAGATTGGAGAAGTCTCTGAAGAAGCTGTAAAAGGCGATGTGCGCTCTCACGTGGTCAGGTATGTTCGTACTATACATGGATAGTTGCCGTCCAGTTGATGCTAATTGAAGAATAGGCTGGCACCAGCTCATGTCGTAGAGCCCACTATTCTATACAAGTCTAAAAAGGCGAAAGAGCCTCTGGTAGCATTCCAGTTCAAATATCGCTCTAACGGTAAGTCGTACGCCTAAGCGTATGATCAAAATACTTACAAGCAACAGCCGGACTCAAGTCCCTCGGCATGATACCGCGTTCACCAAGTCCTTCTCCAATTCCAGAGCCAGCGTTGATTAAGAAGGAAGCCTCACCCGAGCCGACACCCAACATTGTCCCAAACGTCGTATCACCCGCTGCCACCCCGCGGCCCAAGATTGCCAGTGCTACCCCAGCTCCGCCGCAGCCGAGATCCGTTTCGCCCACTCCCAACGAGCACGACGGTCTCACAGATGAAGAAATCATTGCACTCATCAAGCACTACCGCGGAAATGACAAGGGGTTGACTGGTCAAAATCGGAAGCGTCTACTAGTGCTGCTCAAGCATTACGAGGTAAGGCTAGGAACCTTGAGTCTCAACGGCGCTGACCATCTGCAGGACAAGGACAATGAGCAGGTACCTATCAAGCAAGAGGCGGACCCCAGTGAAACACGAGTACGTATCAAGCGCGAGCATACCGACGACGGCGCCGCGCGCGGACAAGGAAAGAAGCGCAAGCCTGAAGTCATAGTCTTGGATGACTGAACAGCATGGGCAGTGGTTAGATGAGAAGATTGGGGTTCTGATGCCGCGTATTTCGATGCGACGATGTGAGCTTTGTTTTGCAATGTGGGGTCTGGCAAGAGACATGATATCGGCGAAAAGCACCTGGGAGAGAATGAGTCAAAGTTTTCTTCAAAAACCCACGAGATGGAGATTTCTTCAGGAATGAACTAGAAACGACTATGAGCGAAACGAATGCATTCATTTCTGCGTCATATCGTCGCACGTATCCTCGCAGCTACGATCTACCAACGTGCAGCCGTCGCAGTAGGCGTAGCATACGTGTCGCTCCAACTCGCAGTGTACTTTGAACTTCCCACAATCGTTTGACTCTTCACATCCGCAAACGTTGCACTAGTCACAATACTATCGGTGCCAATCCATGTGCTCCATGCCGTCGCAGTAGTAACACCATCGACAGGTCCAACTGGGACTGCAGTAGTCTCAGCCCAAGCACCAGACCACACGGTAGGTCCAGGGATGACGTAGTCGGTGACGCAGGGAGTGGTGGAAGTTTTCGGCTTCTTTGTCTCGGTGGAGCAGTATACCTGCATCGTGTTAGCAAACGAGATACGAGCCAGTAATTGACTAGAGGAGACTTACGTTATGCACAACACCCGGATCCTCATAAGAGTACGCTCCCGGGAAGCTCACACCCTCAGGCAACTCAACCTCGCCATCGCCTTGCACCTCGATCTGAACACAGTCGGGGTAGAACTGCGCGCCTCTTTTTGGGTTCGCGAGATAGCTCACATCGCCCTCATGCAGACCAACCATCTCCGCACGAATGATGTAGTGTCCTGCCTTCAACCCCTCCGGCACCCTAACATTCATGTGCCCAAAATTCATCGCAATATCACCAGTGGTACTCCACTTGCCCGCCTGCGGAAACGGATTACTTTCAAATTTCCCTTCGTGCCAAATCTTAACGAAGGAGTTCTCCGTCGGCGGATCAGGCGAGATGTAGATGAGCGAGGGGCCGTGGTGCGAGTTGGCGATGACATCGTCCTTGTCGTTGCGGTAATCGTGGTGCCAGTCGAAGGTCAGGTTGTCGCCAGGCTGTACTTTGATAGTGTCGTGGGCTTGGATGTCGCCCATGACGTTGCAGCGCATGTCGATGGAGTCGAGGTCCTTGACGGGCGAGTTGTTGTAGCCGCCTTTGCCATTTTGGCCGTTGTAGGCGGGGATGCGGATGCCTTTGAAGGTTCCTTGGTCTATGCCGTTGACGAAGACGCCCTGGGGGTGTTAGTATGGGACCTAGGGATTTGGGGGTGACTGGGCATACCCAGATGAAGGTGTGAGCGCAGGCTTGACCTGCAAGAAGCGAGATGAGGAGGGCAGAAGTGGGAGCCATGATCATGGACTGTAGCTTCGACTGGAATACAGAGGGCCAAGTCAGAGTTGCTACAAACATTGTAAATACATATATACCCAAGTTCTAATCCGTCGTACAGTACGCTGGCAGGTGATGGGGCTAGTGTATTGCGATGCATTTACCCGATCGGACTCAGATTGTTAATATATCAGGAGTTCGGTAACGTCCAAAAACAGCTGCAGGTCTGGAGGCTCCAGCGGGAACATCGGACGTGTCTCCGGCAATGTGTAATTGGATCCGTAGACTGTGGCCGATCATGGTGTTCGACGTGGGTGTAGTTGTATAAGTTACATGAAGTCCAAATGCTCCATATTCATCAGACGCTTTTGACAGGTTCACGACGGCCACGCTCGCCTCGCCGCGAACCGCTTGGACAGAAACGTAGTGATTGGGGCTTTTGACCCCGGGTATGGACATGAAATTGTTGCACAAACGCGTCGTCGAGAGGGGAAGCCCTTGGATCATGGTCAACTATAGGTACAGTACAAAGAACACGTTGCGTGACAATGCGGATTGGAAGATGCCTGCCTTGAAGGCTTCCTTCCAGTCCAGATGGAAGGTCCACGAGATCCTAATGACGAACACTGCACGATGATGGAATGTGACCTCTGCTGATTCCCAACCTATCAGTATACTCAGAATGAGTTTTCCAGATCGGGCGCCCAGCCATGGGTCTAAATCTCTTCTTCGCGCAGCGCGAAAACAGGCTCATTCATCAGAGAAATGGGAGCCTGCCATTACGTTGTGTATTTGTTGCTGGCGATGATGAAGAGAAAAAGAGCGACGGCGAGGAAAATCGCGGTTTTGAGGCTGGGGCGGAGCGGAGCTTCGGTGGTGCTAGGCCGGATTGGGAGCGCTAGGGCAAGAACATCTGGCCGCATCGCCAACTGAGGTATCCACGCAAGTTCAAGTGCGTGAGCTTCCTACGACGTTGCATTATCCTGTGCAGTTGTTGCCTTGAGGGAGGAACACTTGACACGTCTCGGTACATTCTGCTGCATACAACTACAGCTGCCCGTCTCGCGCCTGCTACACTTCACACCGCCCCGCCAAATCTCCCATCGTGGGCGCCCTCGGTCCCTCCACCACCAACCTTCGACAACCCTCACCCACCCCAGACCTCCTCGCGCAGCCCAGATAGCTGCAACCGCCCAGCATGGCCGACTTCGAGGCGCTCAAGGACCAGTGGAGCGACATTGAAGACAGGGATGGCGTCCGTCTCAGCTGGAACACGTTTCCCAGCACGCGCATGGTACGATAGACAAGGCCGGCGCGAGGGACGCAAGACACTGATGTGGCCCACAGGAAGCTTCCCGACTAGTCGTTCCCATTGGTGCACACTACACGCCTCTCAAGGAGAAGACGGACACTCCGCTGCTCCAGTATGAGCCTGTCAGCTGCAGGGCGCCATGCAAAGCTATCCTCAACCCCTACTGGTATGCCTGGCATAGTCTCTTCCAACGTATCTCAAGCTGACATTGAGACAGTCAGATTGACATGCGCGCCAACCAGTGGATATGCCCCTTCTGCTTGAACCGCAATCACCTGCCCCCGCACTACAAGGACATCTCCAACCAGCAGATGCCGCCAGAGATGCACCCGAACAGTACCACGATCGAATACCGCCTTCCCCGACCCATACCGAGCCCGCCCATCTTCATTTTCGTGGTAGACACATGTCAAGAGGAAGACAGCTTGAAGGCGCTGAAGGACTCGATCATCATGGCTTTGAGCCTGCTCCCAGCATACGCGCTGGTTGGTCTGGTCACATATGGTACAATGGTAGGTACAGGAAGCTACAATTGATGTTATAAGCTGACAGCCATAGACACAAGTACACGAGCTGGGCTACACCGAATGCGCCAAGTCGTACGTCTTCCGCGGAAGCAAGGACTACTCCACCAAGCAAGTGCACGAGATGCTAGGCCTTAGCCAGATGGCTCCTCGTCCTGGTGTCCCACAGCAGCCTGGACGACCACCTATGGGCGCTCCAGGAGGCGTTGGCACGCGCTTCATCCTACCCGTATCGCAGTGCGAATTGCAGTTGACCAACGCTCTCGAATCAATCCAACGGGACCCCTGGCCGGTCGCGAACGACAAGCGTCCCTTGAGGTGCACCGGTGTGGCGCTCAGCGTCGCTGCTGGACTCCTGGAGACGAGCTTCATGAACAGTGCCGCCCGCATCATGTTGTTTAGCGGTGGTCCAGCCACCGAGGGACCTGGTATGGTCGTTGGCCCGGAGCTGCGCGAGCCCATCCGATCGCACCACGACATCGACCGCGACAACATCAAGTACTACAAGAAGGCACTGAAGTTCTACGAGGGCCTTGCGAAGCGCATTTCCCACAACGGCCATATTGTGGACATCTTTGCCGGATGTCTGGATCAGGTCGGTCTCCTTGAGATGAGGGGTCTTGCAAACAACACTGGTGGACACATGATTCTGACGGATAGTTTCACCTCGTCCATGTACAAGCAATCCTTTGTGCGCGTTTTCAACAAGGATGCGGACGATAACCTCCTCATGGGATTCAATGCCGAGTTTGAGGTGCTGACAACCAGAGAGTTGAAGATCACTGGTCTTATTGGACACGCTGTGTCGCAGAACAAGAAGTCAGTCTCTGTTGGTGAGACGGAATGTGGTATCGGAAACACGTGCGCCTGGAAGATGTGTGGCATCGACCCTGAAGCCTCATACTCGATCTATTTCGAGATCGCCAACCAAGGCGGGTCCAACGTGACCTCTTCGCAGCAACAGGCTCTTATTCAGTTCCTCACATACTATCAGCACTCCGCTGGCCAGTATCACTTGAGAGGTATGAACTCCCTGAAACGTGTCTAGACTAAGCGCGCATACTAAACATTCACAGTTACCACCGTGGCCCGACCCATGAGCGGTCCATCTGGCGACCCTGCCATCGCCCAGTCCTTTGACCAAGAAGCTGCTGCTGTCCTCATGTCGAGGATAGCAGTCTTCAAAGCTGAGGTCGACGATGGCCCTGACGTCCTCCGATGGGTCGATCGTATGCTTATCCGACTATGCGCTCGCTTCGCTGAGTACAGGAAAGATGACCCGTCGTCATTCAGGTAAGACTTTCAACACTCTGGAACATGTGATTATCACTTGGATTTTATATACTAACTACTGGACCAGGCTTGAGAAGAACTTTACACTATACCCGCAATTCATGTTCCATCTTCGTCGATCGCAGTTCTTGCAAGTCTTTAACAACTCGCCCGACGAAACCGCCTTCTACCGTCACGTCTTGAACCACGAGGATGTTAGCAACTCCCTCATCATGATTCAGCCAACACTAGACAGCTACGGCTTCGACCACGAGGGTGGTCAGCCTGTTCTGCTGGACTCTAGCTCCATCCAAAACGAGACGGTGCTATTGCTCGACACATTCTTCCACATTCTCATCTTCCACGGCGAAACAATGGCCGAGTGGCGGAAGGCTGGATACCAAGAGCAAGAAGGTTACGAGAACTTCAGGGAGCTTCTGGAGGCACCAAAGGAGGATGCCAAGGAGCTCATCCAGGATCGTTTCCCATTGCCTCGATTCATCGTCTGTGATGCCGGCGGTTCACAAGCTCGTTTCCTGCTCAGCAAGCTCAACCCCTCGACCACACATCAAACTAACAGCTATGGCGGTGCTGCGACAGCTCAGACTATCTTCACCGACGACGTCAGTCTGCAGACTTTCATGGACCATCTTATGAAGCTCGCGGTATCGGGCACAGGCTAGATTCACTGTACCTTGTAAGCTTAGTTGTCATCGATAATGCAGCGGCGAGGCAAAATAAGGGTTGTATGTGTGGTCTTTGTGTTACATCATTAGCGAAATGAAATCCTTGAATGTCTATATGACTTTGGCTGTGACTTTTGGTAATCTCTTCAGGTTCATAGCCGTATGCTTCAACATCCTCGTGCCGCTCTTATATCCTCTTCTATAATCTAACTACGCTCCATCCTTCCCCAAAACTCCGAGCTACTTATTCACATCTTACTGACATCCCAATCCTTCGCCTCACTCCCCTTAACATGCTCCTCCGCCAACATCTCCCCCGTACCCGGAACCTGAAACGGCTCCGCAGGCAACGTGATAGCAATGAATCTCGCAGGCTCAGTCTCCGACGCGTTATGCCATTTGTGCATAGTGCCTCGCTGGATAACATGATCCTATTTTCAATCCATCAGCAACCACGAAATCAAAACCCACGCGTCCTTTTGGATTACTCCCAAAACAACCCGAAACGGGGAAACCAAGGAAAGGAAAAGGGAACACGTACACCAGGTTTCAAATCCACCATCTCCCCAGTCGCAGTCTCCATACGAACATCGCCATGAGTACAGATTACGTAGTCAATGGATACAGTACGGTGCATCTGACTAGCTTGGCCAGGAGCGAGGTCGCAGACGATGAGGTGGGAGCCAGAGCCGTTGGCTACGATGCTGCGGCCTGTGTAGCTTGATTCTCCTTCTGTGGAGGTGTAGGCAGAGATGTCCTGGTCGTTTTGGAGGGAGGCTGGGATGGTGGATGTGGCGTCTAGTCGGGGTGGGGTTAGTATGTCTGTCTACTTGATGGATATGTCGACGGTGTGTGGTGTCATTTGAGTTTCTTCGGTGGGTGGGTGGTATGGCTAAGACGTACATGATCGAGATGTTCCACCGATACCGGGGTATCCGTAGTACTGTAATGCTGGGCTCGAATGAACGGTGCTTTTGCCCTCTGCGTTGTGGGTGATGATGTGGCGTTTTGCTGGGGGTAGGGATGTAACAGACTCGTACATTTGCGATGCCGCAAGGCGTGCGTCGTTCTCCGCCATTCTGAAGTAATGGATACGAATGAATATGTGAAGATGGAAACGATGAGGGGTAAACAAACAGATATTATTGACAGAACATCAGCAATGTAGAGGTAATTGAGATCTTGGCGTAGGAAGCACTGTCATCTTATACGAGAACCATCTCCCGTGCCTACTAGACGCAAGATCCACTCTACGGAAACTTTCCACGTGTGAACAGGTAGCGAGTGTAAGCGCGAATATATTTTGTGCTCCTTCTATATGAGGTTTAAAGGTGGAGCAGAGACCGGGGTTGAAGTGCCCACCTGAGAGGGAACACGTCAAATCAAGTGGATGGCCCGTGAAAAACACACAACGTGCAGTGGAAACGGAAGTGAATGGTAGAGTGCTGCATTGGTATGGATACGCTAAAACCACGTTTTGTCTACGTAACGCCGGCTCATCGATGAAGAATGGTGCAGGTGGTCGAATGCAGAAAGTCGTAAACTGCCGCGGCCATTAAACATGTACAACGAAGCTGACAGCTGTCAGAACTGATATCAGCGCGTTTATGCCTTCGCCTTCTTGGCCTTCTTAGGCTTGGCAGCGGTCTTCTTCTCCTCGACCTCCTCGACGATGGGCTCGACGACGACCTTCTCCTTCTTGGTTCGCTTGCTCCCGGGCGTTACTTCTGGGACGGCCTCCTCGGTGACGGTAGTAGTCTCGACCGTGACATCCGACTTGCGCTTCCTGGTCTTCTTCTCTGGGGCAGGCGCGGCAACCTCCTCCACCATGACCTCAGCTGCCTCAGCAGGCTTGGCCTTTGCACCCTTCTTGCCCTTCTTTGCTGGCGCAGGTGAGACAGCCTCGACTACCTCTGTGACCTCAGCAACCTCTGCAGGTGGTGGTGCTGCTTGAGCCTTGGCGCCCTTCTTGCCCTTCTTTGCCTTGGGGAGCTCAGCAGCTGTGGTCTCCTCAGTAGCCGCCTGAGTAAGAAGCTCTTGGGGCTTTGCGGCCTCGAGCGTAGTGATGGTGGTGTGCTTAGGGACGCTGTCGACAGTCTTGAGCGCCGGTGCTTCGAACTCGTAATCAAAGACCTCCTTGAGCTGCTTAGCCTTGCTTGTCCTTCGCTTGTTCTCGTTCTCCACGCGCTTCTCCCACTGCGCACGCTCAACACCGCGCTCCATCTCGAGACCGGCCTTCTTGTTGCGAGGGTCGACCTTGAACCGCTCGTTGGCACCCTTGAAGAGGTCGGGGTGTACCTGCTCAGCAGGAATAAGGTGAACCTTAAGGATGTGACCGAACAGTAGGTAGTTGTTCATTGTTCGTGCGACGATGTCAGCAACTTCTTCGGACTGGAACTCGACGAAAGCGAAGTGCTTGGAAGCACCAGTCTTCTTGTTGCGTGACAAGCGTAACCGGTTGACCTTGCCGAATTGCGAGAAGTACTGCTTCATCTGGGGCTCGAAGAAACCGCGGGGCACACGACTAGACGCATTGTTAGCAATTTGTAGTGTAGAACGGACTGGTCTACGTACCCAACGTAGAGGACACCAGGCTGGTTGGACTTGGGTGCCGCCTCCGCCTGCTTGATCGCTTTCCGCTGCTTGGCGCTGAGCTTGGGAACCTTTGCTTCTTCGTCAAAGTTGACGTCCTCATCGGCATCGTCTGAGTCTGAGTCGCTGAAGCCGGCGAGGAGAGCTGCCGTCTGGTCGTCCTCAGCAGCATCGTCTGCGTCGTCTTCCACCGCTGTGACCTCGGTGACCTCGACCTCGGGTTCAGTCGCCTTCTGCTTCTTTCCTCCCTTTGCCTTCGCTGGCTTTGCGACTGCAGTCTCCTCTACTATGGCGACAGCGTCCTCAACTGGCTCGGCCTCAGCAGCCTTGCTCTTCTTGGACTTCTTAGCCTTCTCCTTAGGGGCCTCTGCTACGACGGTCTCCTCTGCGACTACAGTCTTGCCCTTCTTGCCACCCTTCTTGGGCTTTTCTTGCACGTCAGTGACCTCTACGACGGAAGCGACAGGCTCAGCGATCTCAGTGTCAGCCTTGGCAGCGGTCTTGCCCTTCTTCGCTTGCTTCTTAGGCTTCTCCTGTACTTCGGCAACCTCGACTACCTCCGCGACGGGCTCGGCCATCTCGGTATCGACGGCGGCAGCGGCCTTGCTCTTCTTGCCCTTCTTCGGCTTGACAGGCTCGGCAACGGCGATGGGCGCAGCTTCCTCTTCAATGTCCATGAAGTCGGCGGCTTGCTTGCGCGCAGATTTCCGCGTTGGCTTGGCCTCGACAGGCGTGACATCGTCCGACTTTCTCGGCTTCTTCGCTTTGGGCGCCGCCTCTGATGCGCCTGAGACAAGTTAGCGACCGCGATCGGGAATTATTATTATCGCAATTGCTCACCCTTGCGCTTCTTTCCTGTGGTGTCTTGGACAGCCATTGTGATTTGGTGTAATGGCGTGGGGTCTGTGTGGTCGCGAATGTTGTTACGCGCAAAAGTTCGGAGGAGAGCTCAGACGCGGGAACTTTTTTCGTGGCAGTCGCGCTAATGGACACTTGCCAAGATAGTCCCCAGCCCTCACCATTAACCTACAACTCCAGATACTCACCTCACACCAAGCGAAATACTTGAAACCGAAAAGAAAAAGTGAACGCCCTCACAGCATTTTACCAGGCTAGCAACTCAACTTGCTCTGTACACCGCCGAAGATCCAAAGTTCAACATGGCACCCGTTGTAGACATGAGCGACAAGAACGCGTGGGATGATTCTCTGCTGATCGATTCCTGGGATGAGGCGGTGAATGAGTACAAGGTACGTTTCTACACGCGTCGTTTTCGTAGTTTCCGCGAGGATATCGACTAAACAGAACAGAAATACCACAGTATCCACCAATCAGGCAAGAAACTTGAAGACGTCCTGACGGAGGAAGAGCTAAAGGAAGCACGGGGGTAAGCAGCTCTCCAAGCCTTTACATCACGATACTAACGTTTCTAGGGAATACGGGGACCTGATGGATGAAGCGGAGGCCGTATCGGCAACAGCAGAGACCAGCGGTGTCGCGGATCATGAAGATGTAGACACGCCGCTGTCAGAAACCAATGGCGTTGCTCAAAGCGGTCCGTCGCCGCCGCAGGTACGTGTACATATGAAACAGCCCAGTACCGAACCCTGTCTTACGAGAACCAGGAACCAGATCTCTCCGGGAAGCAAGAACCGCAGATCCAATCGCCAAGTGCTGAGGCTCCTCCGGTGCCACATGCTGCCGGCACTCTTGCAGATGCCATGCCGCAGGCCATCCTTGGAACCGGTAAGTCGTGATTTTGACAGCCGTTACTTCCGGATGGTGTGGAAGTTTGACAGTTGGTGACATGCTGCTAACTTTGAATAGTGCAAGATGAGAATATGAAGAACATTATGATGTCCTGGTACTATGCCGGTTACTACACTGGTCTGCATGCTGGCCAGCAGCAGGCTCGCAAAGAGCCCCCAGCGACTCAGTAGCGGATCCTGAGAATGACGCATTTTGGAGGCAGTGCGCATCACACTGTGGCTGCCGAGCGAGTTTAGAAGACGAAGCAGACATATTGAGGCTTGAAAGTCGTTGTTTTGAACCAATGGGGTGAGGAATGCCATGGTCTAGTCCCTGCACGCGACTGACGACCTACACAGTTCGTGCCTCAACTCCTCGGGAACGCAGGCTGCGAGATGAAAGCTCTGCAGTTTCCATGCGGCTCACGAGTTCCCAGCCCCATAGTCCAGGCATCCTGATTAGTTCTGTCCCTGCGCCTATAGCCTTGGTGGTTCTTAGATTACCGCATTGGGCTTGTCTGGCGAGAAGCGAGACGGATCTGCGACACCACCGCGACAGTCTCGAACCCACCTCCAACGGTTCGAGTCCCAAACACCCCCCGCCGTTGCGCCCAAGCAAGTGCGCATCACCAAAATCTCGCCATTCTTGCAGCCGATCAACGTTTCCCCCATGCCATGCCGAGCGCAAGGGGCTGGTGTTTCGCCATGTGCGCAACGGCCTGCACGCCTTCCAAATCCAACAATTTCATGCGTGGATTTAAGGAATAGACAATCCCCAGGCATAAACTTTCTCCTCATCTCATCGCTCTTGCCTCATAATACCAGTGCTTCACTGTCTCTTTCTCTTACTTCATCTGCTTCTTACTGTCCGAGCCGGCCCTCGTAGTGCCCTTTCAATCCTTCAAACCTTCTATCGTATATTCTAGTGCTTGCAGCGCAGGCTTACGTTCACTTTTACGACACTTTTACACGATACGCAATCTAGTCATAATGAAGTACTTCACAGCACTACCCCTAGCGGCCGTACTTGCATCCGCCGAGATGCAGGTTATGAGCCTTGCCCCCGAGGTCGCAGCTGGCGCGATGACGCACACTGTAAGTACACTCATACTACTTACTATTGAACCCAATCTAACATACAATAGGTCGTCGTTGGTGGAGTCAAGCCCGTCGAGACTGGTATGGCACCCGTACTAGGATACAACCCCGAGTCCATCAAGGCCGCCGTCGGCGACATGGTCGTCTTCGAATTCATGCAGAAGAACCACACTGCCACTCAATCAACTTTCGCCGAGCCCTGCAAAAAGATGGAGGGAGGCATGGACTCCGGCTTCATGCCCAACCCTGAGGGCAAGGCTGGTGTCACATGGAACATGACCGTCGAGACAACAGAGCCGCTCTGTAAGTTTGTTACATTTGGGGATAACACGAACGACATCTAATATCATCAAGGGTTCTACTGCAAGCAACAAAACGGCATCCACTGCGGAAAGGGCATGGTCTTCAGCATCAACGCCGCCGAGACTGGCGACAAGACCATGGCCGACTTCAAGGGCCTAGCCATCAAGACCAACGGCACAGGCCTCGTTGCCGGAGACCTCCAGTCCGTCGACCCCGGCGCCGCTGCCGCCCCTACCACCGTTACCGTCGAGGCTGGAGGTGCCGCCGCAACTGGCACTGGTACTGGCACCGGTGCTCTCGCCTCCGCCACCGTCGTCGCTGGACAAGGAACCGACGGTGCCGGCCAGACCTGCTCCTGCCAATGCCTCTGCGGCATGGCCTCCTTCCCCGAGACCGCCGCCATCAACAACTTCGGCGGTTTCCCCGGCATGATCGCATAGACGCCTTCACGAATATAAATTTGGAGAAACGGTGTAATGAGTAGGAGGAGGAGGAGGAGAATGGATCGACTAGGTGTATGCGCTTGGTTGGTCTTGGGGAGAGGTGGTTGGTCGAGAAACAACATTCTTACGACGGGTTCGGGCAAGAAAGCTTCTGGTTTAGCATTTGTTCCCCCCGGATCCTTATACCATTTTTATCATTTGCTGGGGCGTTTCGCATTATACCGTAATCCACATGCTGCGATGGTAGCCGCGCGGTGGTGCTGTTTGAGTTAAAGACTTGATTGTAACGTTGTAAAAAAACTTTAGTATTAGAGCTAGATCCAAGAGATCGCACTTTCACAATCTTTGCCATGTTCAAAAGTGCTGTTAGTGCTTGGTGTTTGCGTTTGGATCGTGACGAAGACTTGAGTGTGTTGCATGGGAAGAAGGGCGCGATGGGCTCCTCACGGCGTTCAAAATCAGAAATCGGTGTATTCGGTGTATCCAAAATCAATCCAATCCAAGCACAATCCTTCGCCTTCTAATCCAAATCCAGGAAACTCCGCTTCATGATGATAGGGTTCTAAACAGCTTGACTGTGACGGCGGTGGTGGCGTCAGAATGTTGTCGTTTGTCGCGTTGCGCATCTTGTCTGACCGCTCATTTCTTAGCGCCCTCAGCGGCCCTCTTTGCCTCAGCTACACAGGCAGTCAGCGTCGCCGTCTCGAGAGTATCGCATGGCCTTTCTGAAGTCTGGGTGCTCAAGATAAGAGGAATTCGACGTACCAGCAGCTTGTTTAGCGCGCATGATCTCTGCTACGTTCTCCTTGGTGCGCGCGAATTCGGTACCGGATTGCTGCAGCCTGTGGTTAGCCAACACCCCTCGAGGCCTTTATCGCCAGTCTCTCCGGGATACACATACAGTGTTCTTGCCTTTCTATTTATTAAGTTAGCGCGATCTTTCTTTGAGAGAACAACGACTGATATAATCGTTGTTCGTGGTGCCAGAAACGGGGGTCAAACATACCTTTCCAGCCTGCTCCTTGAGGTTCTTCTCCCTGGCCTTGTCGCGCTGGTTGCCACGCGCCATTTCGTTGTCTTTGTACTAGAAAATCGACCAAAAATTGTCCAAGGCAGTCTTCTTGGCTTTTTGTGCCGGGTGTGCAGGTTATTGCGAATCAGGGTATTTATCGAGGGCGCGCTGAGGAATTAGAGGTTTGGGTAGTCAGCGCGGCGGAAGTTCTGATAAAAATAGCGCGTTGTTTGTTTCCGCTGGCCAATTGGGGCAAGGGCCAGAACGTGGAAAGTGGAAGCCGCGATTCGGGGCTTCTTCGCCACGTGCGTGGGCATTCACGATCTTCTTTCTTTATCGAGATCGTTGTTCGCTTTTGCGGTCAGTGTTCGTTGTCGCACCGAAGACATCTGTTTGATGGATTTGATCTTCCTTGCTCTGCGCGCTTCGTTGGCGGCGGCGGCAGCAGCAGCTGCTAGCATGGGAAGAGCGAGCTAGGTGCGACAGTTGGTATCGCGAC